GACTCTAAAAAGAATGCAGAGAAGAGCAACAAAGAGGATTAGGGGACTGGAGACTAAAACATATAAAGAACAATTGGTGGAATTGGGTTGGGTATGTCTAGTCTGATGAAAAGAAGGACTAGGGGAGACATGATAGCAGTGTTCCAATATCTCAGGGGTTGCCCCAAAGAAGAGGAAGACAAGCTCTTCTCCAAGGCTCCCGAGGGCAGGACGAGAAGCAATGGGTGGAAACTAATCAAGGAGAGAAGCAACTTAGAACTGAGGAGAAATTTCCTGACAGAACAATTAATCAGTGGAACAACTTGCCTTCAGAAGTTGTGAATGCTCCAACATTGGAAGTTTTAAAGAAGATGTTGGATATCCATTTGTCTGAAGTGGTGTAGGGTTTCCTGCCTAGGCAGGGGGTTGGACTAGAAGACCTTCAAGGTACCTTCCAACTCTGTTATTCTATTCTAACTATAGACAGGTAAGATAAAAGCTGAGTCAAGAGTGCCCAACTTCTATAAACATTTGGTTAAAACTCAAGTTATATCTTCAAGAATTAGCATCTTTCATTCTCTAGGACAATTTTCAATCTGTTAGATTCAAGGCTGTTGAATCTAATGTTTTAAATCTTGGCTAATCTCCCGCCTCAGTTCTTAAAATGGAATATGATCAGGTGAAACACGCCCTGAAGCAAGGGATAAAGGATACAAAGAGGCAAACAGACCTAGAGAAGGCCCCAGGCTTCCTGTCACCAGTATGCAATAGATATATTGTCTCTTCTGCCACCTACCTTACATGGCTAGAAATACCCAGCCATCAGAAAACTTTCTTGCCAATGTCAAACTCTCCTTCTGCAGTATTGGATGGTAAAGATAAAAAAATACCAAGACTCTGCCCCTGTGATTCCAAAGAAGTGGAAACTACAAAATATGTTCTTCGTTGCTCCTTTTATGGAGATGTCCATACCAGATTTATACTGCCTCCGATTAGATATTATGATTTGCCCAAATTTGGCTTCTACCAGATGCTGCTCATAGATATAGAACCCAGTGGTGGGATTCATTTTTTTTACTGTCGGTTCTGTGGGCATGGCTTGGTGGGCGTGGCATGGCTTGGTGGGTGTGGCAGAGGAAGGATACTGTAAAATCCCCATTCCCTCTCCACTCCAGGGGAAGGTTACTGAAAAATCTGCATTCCCTCCCGATCAGCTGGGACTCGGGAGGCAGAGAATAGATGGGGGCGAGGCCAGTTAGAGGCCGGTTCTCTGAATGACTCAGAATTTCTGCTACTGATTCTCCAGAACTGGTCAAAACCTGCTGAATACCACCTCTGATATCCCTTCTTTTACAAACACGAAATAGCTCTTGACTTTTGCTGCTTACTGTTCTGGTGGATCAGCATTATAGTAGCAGCATTGCTAAACAATTACCATTAACTAACATATCCTTCTCTAATCTTGATTAGGAGGCAGCATGATAAATTACAATTATAATCCGGATGATAATGGATGTCTTACTATGATTAATATTGCATTGAATTGATGGGAGGAACATAACAAAATATGTACTTTTTTAAGGCTGCTTTTATTTTCTTCACCTTGGTTAAGATTATGTTGATTTATTTACACCAACTGTCTTTGGAATTAATCTGAAATAGTTGTTTGGGCTACCTGATTAAAAAAAAGACAAGTGCTATGTAACTGCAGACTCTTTATATATTTCTCATTTTAAGGAGAGCTTTTGGAAGCCATTAAACGTGATTTTGGCTCATTTGCAAGTTTTAAGGAGAAACTCACAGCTGTTTCAGTTGGTGTCCAAGGCTCAGGTTGGGGATGGCTCGGTTTTAATAAAGAATCTAATAGACTCCAGATTGCTGCCTGTTCCAATCAGGACCCTCTCCAGGGAACCACAGGTAAGATTCTCTAGGTGGAAGTTGACTACATCTGTTAAAGACCATTTTTAGCTGCAGAAGGAATAAAACAATAGCAATTAGCATTTAGACTTACAGTATATATATACTGCTTTACAGCATTCTGAATGGTTTATGGAGTCAGCATATTGCTCCCAACACTCCCTCATTTTACAACTTTGGAAGGATAGAAGGCTGAGTCAACATTGAGCCGGTCTGGGTCAAACTCGAGGCAGGGAGCAGAGTCATCCTGCAATATTGCATTCTAACCACTGTGCCACCATGGCTGCAATATGAGCCTTGATGATTCTGCTTGTGTTTCACTAGTGAATGCTTTTGCTTTATTCATGAGACGAACTAGTTTCTGACAGTCTCACTTGCATAGCAGTTCGGATAAGAAAACAAAAGAGTAAACCAGACACGAGCAATGTTTATAGGCATATTGATGTTCAGACATTGATATAAAATAATACCTGTTGGTGGAAAAATTTCCAAACTGCTTCTTCCCTGCAGGTAAGAAATAGCTTAGTCTCTCTTTCCAGCTTCTCATTTCAGTCTTGTGGTGGCTGACCACCTGTTTTGAACCTGAACCTGTTTTGCATTGAATAAGAATATTTTAGGAGGTATTTTCTGTATCTATAAGAGGAGCATTTGCTTTCTCTTTCTGTCTTAAGACAAAAACGCAATTTTTACAACTTTCTAGGATTAACAAAATAACTCTTCTTTCTACACCTTTATAATTTGCAATAGCGTATTTAGAGAAACACTACTGTTTCCTAGAGGAAGAAGGTAATCTTTGATTTACAATCACAATTGAGTCCAAAATTTCTGTTGCTAAATGAGACATTTGTTAAGTGAACTTTGCCCTATTTTACAAAGGTTTTTTGCCACACTTAAGTGAATCACAGCAGTTGTTAAGTTAGTAACACAGTTGTTAAGTGAGTCACTTTTTTCAGTGCCATTGTAACTTTGAACGGTCACTAAATGAACTGTTATAAGTCAAGGACTACCTGTAGTTCCTTCCAAGAGGCATGATGGGTGTGTAATGAGAGTAATTAAACCTGTCAGGAAATAGGTTCATTTTGAAAAGTATGTTTTATATGCCATTGAAAGAAGCTAGTACTAGTAACTGGGTGGTCAGTGTTTATTTGGGTAATAGTCCTATAGGCTTTTTTTTTAAATTGGGGTTGGGGGTATGTTTGTGGCAATAACTTGTTAAAGTTTGCAGTATTTTAGCAATATTTTTCCTCTTTTTTTAGGACTGACTCCTCTATTGGGAATTGATGTATGGGAACATGCATATTATCTTCAATATAAAAATGTTAGACCTGACTATCTCAAAGCTATATGGAATGTGATCAACTGGGAAAATGTATCTTCAAGATATACAGCTTGCAAATAATAGAACAGAAAATCTCATAGAAACAAGATCTAAGTGATCCTCAGATTATTTTCATAATATGTTGCAGTTCAATTGCTAATTATTCCATCACTGAAAATATCACATCACCAGAAAGTCCTCTCTATCAAGCTAATTTGAACCTAATTGTGGCAAACATGTAGGTTTGAAGTGCTAATTGTCTCTCTTAAAAAACGGGTTAGCCGATTTTCTGAAAGAATGTAAATTTCTAAAACTTAAAAATGGATTACAAATTAAATTCCTTTTAGTAACATGGGAATTTGAATGCTTTTGAATAATTTCTTGCAATTTGAGGAAGAGTCCAGGAAATAAAATTTAGAGAACATTTAATAAATTAGATTTTTTGAAAAGTTATGTATCAAGAACTTCACGGTACTTAAATAAGTTATACTGTTACACTCATGTTAATGATAAAAATTTGGCATGTTCATTATAAAGATTCAAAATCTCTGTAAGTTGGTAAATATAGAAAGTTAGCTTGTGAAATTTGAGCTTCTGAAAGGAGGAAAATCAGTGATAAATATAGTGTATCGAGTATATAAAATAAATTGATTGGATTAAAGATGTAATTTGCACTTTGTGTCTTTGAGTGAAATATATCCATTTATTGCTATGTCTACTATATATCTCATTATTGTATAGACGCTCCAAAAATAAAAGTGCAAAATGACTCTTAAGTCATTAAATAAACATGTATAATGCTAATGGACCATTTTAGAATGAAAGAACTTTAGGATTAAATGCGAAAACTATGGGGATTGGTGTATTGAGTATGCTTGGGAAAATGGTTGTTAAAAATTCAGAATGTCACATTCTTATATACTTTATAAAATATGGAAAAAGTGAAAATGAAAAAATTGTAGGTTTAGATATAAGGCAAGCTGAATAGGCTTAAATTATAAAACTGCACATAAATATGATATTGAAAGTTGGTTGCAGAATACAATAGACTAAATAGAATGCCTGACAAATGGTTCAGCTGTGAGCAGGGAACAAGCCAAGGTTTGATTTGTGTAAGGAATATTTTGATACCAGAGATGTGTTTGGGGACATGAATATGTGTGCATTTTTGTATGCAGATCATGCTGTGTTGTTGGCTGAGAATCCAAATTTGCAGCAGATGTTAGGATAGATAATGCAATGAGTATGGATGAAAAATATAAGATCAAAATAAGTGTTTTTTGAATCAACAGATGTAAATTATATATATAAATGACCAAAATTAGAGCATGAAAATGATTCTGTGCACCTTATAACGATCTAAAAAACATTAATCCATATCACTTAATATATCAGAAGCAGGGAGGGGATTCAGTTGTCTAGGAAGTACAAGATGTGGATTTTGTGTGTTTTATAAGTGTTCCTTAAGTCATTTCTGTAAAGCCATGAGGGTGAATGAGTACAAAATGTTAACTCAAGTGTTTATGCAACCTGATCATCAAACAGGGAGGCCATGGCTATGTCTGTTGCTCTTGGATTGAGTATAGTAGACTTCCATCCCTTTGAGAATTTACAAATCAGTATACAGTATGTAGAGATGGTTGATTTTCTATTATGTAAAGGTAGCAGAAAGTCTTTAACATTGCCACTAGATGGCGGTGCTGTACCATACTTAGAAATTCTGTTTGGCTAATGTAATAAGTTATAGGCATTTTTAAATACTAATTTGTCAGGTCAACAAATGTAGAAAGTGTGTGCATAAGCTTGAAGAAGTGTGAATATTAGTTATCCAACTCAGCAAATGGAAAGATACACTATATTTTATGGCAGGAAACCTGTTAAAGACTAAACAGATTTTATCATTTTTTTCTTTTAACGGCTTTCAATCCACTCTCCCCATTGCCTCAATTGACATAGATAAGAATAAATATTTATCCCAGAATTGAGGACCTGTATACAGCAACCCTATTTATAAAGACTTACTAGGGAATGGAGGAGCTTTGGAACAACAATATCCAAAGATTTTGCCTAAATCAATGCCAACAGCTGGTTCTATTCACAGAGATATCATATTACACCTCCCCCCTCATTCCTTTTCAGTTAGCAGGTCTGGCATTAATATGTGTGTGTGTGTGTGTGTGTGTGTGTGTGTGTGTATGTAATGATCACAGACAAAAAATATGTAACTTGCAACCAAGTAGAAGCTCTTGATTTTTNGCAAAGCATGAAGCTACCCCGTTAATTTTTTGCATATAGTTTTTATTCTGTGTCCAAAGGAACTGTGCAGCTTAAATGTACTGTTATTTGTCCCTAGCACTGACAGTCCGCTAATGACATGCTTTTCAATAATTTTGGAACCGGCTTTGGCAATTGCACATTAACCTTGTTAGGTAAATTATTGTCATTAGCCAAAGTCATTGGTTCCTCCCTCTATAAACCGGAGTTTTTTTATTCATTGAATTTGGATGCTACCCATGTCACTGTTAACGGTGACTCTTGGTGGCTTACAAAGTAATTAAAAAGTTAAAAAAAGATAGTACAAAAAGTAGGAAGATTAAATAAACTAAAAAACAGAGAGGACTAGCAACGTGGAGGTGGGGATCTTCTCTCTATCTCACCTCCAGCTTACAACGCCCCTATTCGGACTCCATACCAACTGGCAAATAGCTTAGTGCTCTGATGATGTTCCATTGGACATAGATTTCCATGAACATGCTCTTCTTTAATACTTGCTTTTTGGAAGTTTCCACCCCCAGAATTAAAACGAGTTTTCTGCATGTGCTGTCATTTTGTGTTAATCTGGATTTAGAGGCCAAGTGTAGTAACCCTGACAACGTTTTTCTAGCACTTTCCCCTTTGACAGTTTATTAGTAAACATTATATATATTCTTCCATAAAAGAGAAACAAAAACAATAATTGCATTTTATAGCTTAACTTTGGTGTCACATTTTAATGTTTGTGGAGATATGTATGTTGTTTTATTATGTTGTTTTAACTCTTTGCTGGGAGCTACCCAGGATTTGATATAAGATAAGCACCTGTATAAATGTTGAAAGAAAAAGAATGAATAAATGAATTGGGGGATGGGATGGCAATAGCTTTATTTACTGATTAAGAACATAATTTTGACTAGAAGCACAAAAGAAATCTAATATCAACTTTAATGAAAAATAAAATTCAGACTTTTATTTTTAGCAGTAATAAGTGATAAATGATAGTCAGTGCTTAGTGTTCCCAATCCACATGCACAATACAGCTCATATTTGTAAAATACATTTAAAGAATAAAACAAATATTAGATGTAGTTCAGTTTGAAAGAAATGTGTATCACAGTACAGAAGATATGAAAGAATCTCCCATGGAGAGGAGGGCACGTCTTACACTCTTGGTAAAATTAGAAGAAGCTGTTTCAAACAAAGGAATACAGGTAGTCCTCGACTTACAAGCATTTGCTTAGTGACCATTCGATGTTACAACTGCACTGAAAAAAGTGACATGACTAGTTTTTAGGACCATTGCACCATTCTTCTCTTACGTGGCAACTGGCATGTATTTATAACAGTTGCAGTGCCTCAGGGACCTTGACAAAGTCAATTGGAAAGCCAGATTCATTTAACAACCATGTTACTAACCATCGCAACGATTCTCTTAACAACTGACAAGAAACGTTGTAACATGGGACAAAACTCACTTAACAACTCTCTTGCTTAGCAGTGGAATTCTTGTGCTCAATTGTAGTTGTAAATTGGGGGCTACCTATATGTAAATAAGAGACTGCTGGAGATGATATCTACAGATGGCTGCAGAGCTTGAGATCAGTTGTTTGCTTGTTGAATTTAATGCTTATGTTGCATTTCAGAGGACAGTTACCTCTTTCCCATACCTCATCTCTATCTCAGGTATGAGTGTAATGAGAGCGAACAAATTAATTGTGTGATATTAACATAAACCATACTTAGGGTGATCCCTGTAGCCCTGTCATTGTCTTGGGCTAGGTTTTGTTTCTCTTCAGTTCACAGGGAAATAGAAGTAATGATGATATGGGTAATTGTGGCAATAAATGATAGATAATAATGATTATGAAAATTTTAACAACTAAATGTATTGGGTGATAGCAAAAAAAATCCTACAAAATGAAAATCAATGCATGTTTATTATATAATTTATTTATTGTCTTTCAGAAATAACACTGCGCTGATTACCTCTCTTGGTTGCCTGGCCTCCAGAAAAAAGCACACTCTCCCTGACTTGCCCTATGATTATGGTGCTTTGCAACCACATATCAGTGCAGAAATTATGCAGCTTCACCACAGCAAACATCATGCTGCATATGTAAATAATCTGAATATTGCTGAAGAAAAATACAAAGAGGCTTTGGCAAAAGGTACTGGGAATAATATATCACTGTACATCTTTCTGGTTTTATTCCTGCTAAAACTGACTCTTTATGACTGTTCTATGTACATTTATTTCCTCTGTGCTAAGAGGAATAATTATTCAAGGTGAAAGCTATCTTCTTTGAACTGTCAGTGAGTCAGACCCTCACACAAACTCTTTTGAATTCTCAGAGGAAAACATGGCATATAAATGCAGTAATTTTGTTCCTATCTTCTCTTACCCAACTGGAGTGCAATAGGGGCCATTGTAGAGTCCAGGATCCACATGTCAAATTTGAGTTTAAAAGACTGACAAACAATAATGAAACCAATTTGAGGAGTTGTATGCAAAATGAATATGTTAAAGAGAAGGTACTGTATCATATCAGCTAGCAATTGATAGTAGCCTTAACATATTTAGGTTATGAGGAAATCATAGTTGAAATTTATTGTTCCCTTACTTGTGCAGGTAAGCAGAGGAAGCCATTTGTCGTTTGTGCCTTCCACTGTCATGAGATTGCAAACTAATACAGTAATATCAGTGGAGTTAGCTAAACGTATATACAATTGCCCTCATGTTATTGAGGATTATGTTGTCCCAGATGGTAAGTTATTGAATATAACTGTCAATCCTTGCCATTTGGAAGGTAACTTAAGTTTATGTTTGTTTCTAAGGTACCGGCATACTATTCATGAGGACTTTGTATGATGTTTCTCAATAATTGCTCATAGAAGCTTTACAGATAGAATACGGAGAAGAGATATAGTCCCTAAGAGTTTAATAATTAAACTGGGACAGGAGTGCTTTTAGTTGATGGTTGCAAGAAAAGCAAATACAGTTATCCAAAAATCTTTATTCATAGGATGTAGCCAAGCATTGTTCTTGGTGTGTGGTCTAGAGATAAATAAAAAGAATCTTATTCAAACTGCATGAAGCAGAAAATAATCAATTTGCATAAAGCCGATTTATATTTGCATTGTATTTCAAGTTGCATTCTGTGTTTCATCAGAGGAAAATTTGATTAGTCTGATGATTCTTTTTTTATCAAAACAAGCTTTCAGCATAAGAGTTTTCCTTTTTGGCATTATTTCCATTTCTAATTAAAGATACATTCAAGAAAAAAAGGCTGGGAAAGCAAGTTTTGTTTTATCTTTCCCCTAATTCAGATGTGGGTCAGGAAGCAGCAATTACAATTCCTTGAAATTGATAAGAAGCATGGATTTGGAGTATTGGAACCCAGAGCTAAAGGGAGCCAGG